GTTCTGGCTCGGTTCCAGCCTGGTTCTGGCTCGGTTCTGTCCCAGTTCTGGCTTGGTTCCAGCCTGGTTCTGGCTCGGTTCTAGCCTGGTTCTGGCTTGGTTCTAGCTTGGTCCTGGCCCACCACTGTTCTGACCCACAGCTCGTGCCTCTCCCTGCAGGTCTGTGCTTCAGGCTGTTCTACGTGAGTCCGGACCGGAGCTCCTGGCCGGTGGGGGGGGGGCAGCAGGTCGGGACCATGCTGCCCATGCTGTACCCGGGAATCACCTCCCACCTGCAGATGAGCCACAAGAGAGACCCCACAGGCTACTTCTGAGGGCCTGAAGAACCGGACCAGAACCGGGCCAGAGCTCTGAGTCCTGCTGGGACCACAAGCTGCTCTCTGTTCTCTGAATAAATGGTTTAAATCATCCTGGGTTCTGTGCTTTCTGGGTTCTTTCCAACGTGGGAGTGGGGGGGGCAGCCTGCTCCGGTGCTTTCCGGAGCACCCTGGACCTTCTGGATCTTTTGGACCATCTGGACACTCATCTTTCCAGCAAAACCATCCTCAGGATTTACATCCAAACTGAATATCTGCCTCTGCTCCATCAAAGGCAGCTGCAGGCTTGGTGTCCTGATTGAGGACCAGCCGAGGGTAAAGACCACCGGTCCTCTGCTGCTGGACAGCGTTGCTTCTTATTACTAACAGAAAAACCACCTCAAAGCGTCCGAGAAGAGGTGTCCTCCTCCCAGTCTGAGATACTGAGCAGGAGAATATGGGTGTGATCCCCATGATGACGCAGAGATCCGTTCTGTACGGCTGGGATGATGAAGGTGAGTCTGGACCCTGCTGATCCTGGTTCTGGACCACATTTCAGAGGCGGCCTGTGTCCAGCGGGAGGCTCCAGTCTGGCTCCGGTCAGAGCAGTGGGCAGCAGCTGTCAGCCATGGGCTCAGAGGTCAGGGCTCTGGACCACTGGATGTGAACCAGGCGGGTGGCTTGGCTTGGGAGGTGTTACAGCTCTCTCCATGGTGTGTTTCACTTTGGTTAGGGTTAAGGTTAGGATTAGGGGTTAGGGTAAGGCTTGAGGGAGAGAGCTTGTTACTCGTGTTCAGGACGCCCAGGCTATCTCTAACCCTAATCTTTGACCTTGTACTAAACCTAATTTGTTAACCCTAACCCTATCCGTGGTAACTACCTTAACCCCTTAATTAAAAAAATTTCAAAAATTCACCCAAAAAAAAAAACAGACCATTTCATCTTTATTTTCTTTTTATTACCATTCTATTATTACACACAACAATAACATTTAAAAAGACCAAAGAAAGTTTAAAAAAATAGTACTAAAAGACAAAGAAATACATAAAAACCTTAAAAACAATTAAAAACATTATAAAATTCTATTAAGATTACTAAAAATACGTTTGTTACAAAAATAAGTTGATTTATGATTAAAATAAAAAAACAATTTTATTTTTGTTAAATACATATTTTGATAAAAATTGATAAAGGGTAAAATCATTATTTCATTAAAAAATTTAAATAAAACACATTTAAAAAGTTCTGACTATGGAACAGGAGTTCCGTTCCGTAGTCAGGCGGAGGAGCCGGCACCCTATAAATGCCGGCTCCCTGCAGCTGCTGCTCAGGACTCCAGAGAGAGCAGACCTCCTGTCTCTCTCCCCCCATTTTTTTCATGTGCTGGACCTGAGGAAGACCTTTTCAGGTCAAAACGTTGTCCTGTCCCCTGCACATAAAGTAGCTTAAAATTAATAATATATATTTTTTCTAAAAAATAATTTTTTCATTTTTTTCACTTCTTTTACTTTTCATTATTAAAAAATTAATAAAATTGACCTAAAACAATTACAAAACCCACACACGTGACCTAATAATTGGCAATGCCAAAAACTGGGGCCACAACACTTATTTGATCCTGCGGGATCATTATGAGTTGAGCCTCGAGGGGCTCCTTGGCAATCTCCCGGCCCACCTGACCCCGGACTGGAGGGCAGCCTTTGAGGTGGCTGTCCGTTGGGCCAATAAAAACTTAAATATGGTCACACAGGAGGAAATCCAAAAAGCAGAATCCCTGATTTCGACCCGCTTGGCCAACCCTGACGCAGCTGAGGCGCCAATACAGCCCAAAGCAGCGCCAGAGGACCGGAGCACGGAGGCCGCAGACCCACAGGACCAGTCAGTCGTGGAGCCCGGCCCACAGGCCCCGCCCCCACCCCAACCTAACCACGCTGCCTCCGTTGCAACTGTGACAGAGGCAGGTGACCTGGATTCCCTACCTGAGGGAGAGCTTATCATGGCACCCCCTCCAGCGGAACAGGGTCTGCCACAGGACCTCCTCAGGCCTGAGGTCCCTGGGGAAGTCCTGTTAGTGGACTTTTCCACAGAGGCCATACAGCCTCACAGTCCTCACCTCTCGCCTGCTCACCAATCAGAGCACTCCAATCTGGAGGCTCTCTTTGACGAGCTGCAGGCGGAGGAAGAGAGGAGGAGGCAGACTAGGCAGGACCAGGAGTCTGAAACCTCCTGCCTAGAGGAACCCCTGGGCCACTCCTATTACTCAGCCTCTCCAGGTCCAGCAATGTTCCGTCCTCTGTGTCACGCCAACACCATGAGGAAGTTGACGGACTGGAACCTGGAGATTGAAAAAAAGTGGGTCATCATAGGGGACTCTAATTTGGCCAGGTTCCCGGCTTATAGCTGTGTCGACCTCCAAATCGACAGCTTCCCGGGGGCCCACTTCAGGCATGCACAGGCCCTCATCGAGAAGTGTGAGCCGCCAGCTGACCTGGAGGTTGAAAAGGTCATTTTGGCCTTCGGGATCAATAGTCGGTCCTACAACGTACGGGAAACGACCAGTAAGAACCTGCAGGGGGCTCTTAGGGCGACGAAGAGGCGGTTCCCGTACGCCAGCATATGGATCCCCCTCGTCAACTTCTCCCCGGACCTCCCTGCGGACGAACAAGAAAATCTGCTCATTCTAAATGAGCATATTTTCAAAAATATGCCCTTTATCCCCCTCCTGCCGGACCACCTCTTCCATACCGAGAGGGACGGTATCCATTGGACAGAGGAGACGGCAGTAGCCATGCTGGACCACTGGGGTGCAGCTTTAAACTGAGGACCCCCCTAAGTCTGAACCTAGAGGGGGGACAGTCAGCTGCATTCCAGGACACACAGCAAGTGGTTGTGTTGGCGGAGGGTTTCCGCCTCACAGGGCCACAGCACAAACTCCTGGCCAGAGGCCTTTCCTTTGTCCCCAAAAAGCAACTAATTGATTATCATAGAATATTAAAATTGGCAGCATTCTTTAAAAACTGTAAAAAAATCCCCTTACCTTTTGCGTCCTGCTCCAATTGGGTTCCTTCCTTGGGCCAGTTACCCCAGGAGGTAGAAGCCCTGGTGGAACAGGACCTGGAAACATTCACACACCACTGTAATCCACAACACAACCTCACCACACATGAAATCCAAGCACTCAGGGACCTACAACACAACAAAAACATCATAATCAAGCCTGCCGACAAGGGTTTGGCAGTTGTCGTTATTGAAAGGGAACAATACAAATTTGAAGCCGAAAGACAATTGAACGATAAACTTTATCCTAAAAATTAAAGAAACTATACCGATGGTGGCTAAGATAATTCATTAAATAAAAATTCACAAATTCAAAACAGGAAAAATATTTAATTGGAAACAAACCACCCAGACAAAGAGAATTCTACATACTCCCCGTAATTGGACCGTCCCCTTCAAAATTCCACAGAATCTAATTCCGATTGTCTCTGACTGTGACAGCGAGACGTATTACACGGCTGAATTTTTGGACCACTATCTGAACCCGCTGTCTGTCCTACATCCCGCCTACCTCAGAGACACCTACCACTTTGTGGAGGTGGTCCGTTGTCTCGTCCTTCCCCCTCAGTGTCTCCTCTTCACCATGGACGTCGCCAATCTGTATACCAACATCCCGATAGAGGAGGGTATCCGGTGTGTCAGCGACATTTTTGAAGCCCACCCGGACCCCAGGCGTCCTGATGAGGATCAACTTCACCAGGAACGATTTTTTTTTATGGCCAATTTTATTTACAAGTCAAAGGGACGGCTATGGGGAAAAGGTTTGCCCCGGCCTATGCCAACATTTATATGGCTAACTGGGAGAGGCTAGCCCTCCAAAAGTGTAGCAATACCCCCAGGTGCTACTTACGCTACCTCGACGACATCTGGGGCGTCTGGGATGGCTCACGGGAGCAGTTCCACCATTTTGTGGATACCCTTAATTCCCACGACCCTGCAATTAAATTAAAATTTGAATTAAAAGACCAGTCAACTGATATTTTGGAGACAACAATAATAAAAGGAACAGATTTCATAAACACAGGCAAATTAGA